ATGAAATATAAAAAAAATCTTAAAAAAAAAAAGAGAGAGAGAGAGTGGAAGAGAGAGGAAAAAGCAGAGAGAAATATCCATGCAAGAGAAACACATTGATTGGTTCCTTCCTGCATGAGCCCTGACCAGGGCCTAGGCCAGGGAGGAGCTTACAACAGAGGTAGGTGCCCTTGACCAGATTGAACCCGGGACCCTTCCAACGCTCTATCCATTGAGCCAAACCAGGGCTCTTCATTTTAACTTTTAAATGAGGAGTTTGTAGATTGCCATAAGCAGTTCCCCTGTTTGATTCTTCAGGCATGTGAGTTTAGCATGAAAAATTATCAATGTTTTGGAAGTCATAAACCAATACATACTTGCTAGTGGACTGATTTATTGAACTAGAGAGGTTTTCCTTTAACAAACTATCTGTAAATCATTGACCCAACACTTCCTTTCCACTATTTCAGCCACTGCAAATCGTATCCATAGGTCTATGCACTGATTATGTACATGTACTTGGTTCTGATATACACATGGTAATCCTATTCCAGTGCAATGATCTGGGTATATTTGACACAAATGTGCTCTTGCTAAACTTTTGAACATTATCTTTAGGCATCATAAAGATATGCTTTCTTATGATCCAGTGATTCCACATCTGGGAATATACCCGAAGAAACCCAAAACACTAATTTGAAAGAATATATGCACCCGTAAACTCATTGCAGCATTATTTACAATAGCCAAGATTTGGAAGCAGACTAAATGTACCCAACAGTAGATGAGTGAATAAAAAAGCTGTGGTACATCTATACAATAAAATACTACCCAGACATAAAAAATAAAAAATAAAGGAAATCTTACCTTTTATGACAGCATGAATGGACCTAGAGAGTATTATGTTAAATTAAGTAAGCCAGGCAGAGAAAGGCAAATACCATATGATTTCACTCATATCTAATGATAAAATAAACAAACAAAATAGAAATAAACTCAGACACTGACGGCTGTCAGAGGAGAAGGGGGTCTGGAGGAAAAAAAGTGAAGGATTAAGAAAAAAAAAACCTCATAGCACAGACAACAGTATGGGGGCGGGGAGGGGCAGGTAGAAGCATGTAAAGTGAAGCTAAATGGTGACAGAAGGGGACTTGTGGTAGTGAACACACCATACAACCCTATATAATAAAAGCCTATATAATAATATAATAAAATAATATGCAAATTGTTCAACTGGGAATTCAACCAGGAGTTCAACCGGGAGTTCGACCACTCACTATGATGTGTGCTGACCACCAGGGGGTGGTGCGGAACATGGTGAGTGTAGGTAATGCGGCGCTGGCAGTGGGCAGCAATGGAGGCACCGCTGGCCCCCAATAGGCCCCAAACAGAGTGGGACTGCAGTGGGATGGTGGAGCAGATGAGGGAGTGGCACCAGGCCAAGGCGGGGTGCCATGTGGGGCTGCAGGGCTGAAAGCCTGGGAGTGTGAGCTGGGGCCTGATCCCCACAGGCCACTCTGAGAAACCCCACCCGTGCACGAATTCATGCATCGGGCCTCTAGTACATATATAATGTATTATAGAATTGTATACTTAAAAAGTCACCCCAATACATTCAATATTTTTTCAAATATGCTGTGCCACTATTTTTTTCAAATGCAGAAAAAGTTCTTCAATGCCAAATGATAGCCAACATTTATATAGCACTTCTGTACCCACTATATCCACTGCAACCGCTGGCACCACTGTAACCACTTCACAGATACCTATCTCGTAAGGCCATTGTCAGATAGATATTATTATCACCATCATCATCATCATCATCTCCATTTTACAGATGGGGAAACTGAGACTTGTAACATCAAAGTCACAGGATAGAAAGCCACAGAGCCAAAGATAGAACCCAGAGTCCACAGTCAGCTCCTAGCTGCTGCACTGCACTGCCTCTCACAGAAAGGGTCTTTATCCTTCAACCCCCAGCCTTCCACTTCCAGAACTAGCTGTACTCTTCCTCAAAGAATATTAAAAAGCAATGCTGAAGGAATTCCTCCAAGGCACAGAACAAGGGTTGGAAGTAGACTACAATTCTGAGTCACTACAGTCTGTACAGTACAGATTTGAAGAAGCCCTGTGTCACATGGGTCATTTTCTTTCCCTGCAGATAAATCCAGGAACTGAAACCTTGAGTGGACTTCATGGCTCACCTTTCACTCAGGTCTTCCAGGAAAGGCAGGACTAAATGCCCTGCTGCTGCCTATGGTGCAATGCAAAAGCAGACCAAACCAAGCTGTGGCTGAGAAGAGAAAGATAACAGGCTGAAAATGCACACCTCAGGAGCCAGAGTCCCTGCCAAGAATTTAACTGCCAGATCATTACTAGTGGACTCTGGACTCTTCATTGGAAGACTGAGACAGCATGAGTTGGAGGAAAGAGCCAACATTTTTAATTTAGACAACCTTGAGATTCAGGCATGGCCTGCATTTGCTTGGTGAGTAACCCCATAGAACATTTGCAATCTGCCAGCATCTGTGTTCTCGTTTGTCAAAAGAGATTGCAACTATTTTATAATGTTATTGGAGATATGAAAGAACTATATTTAAACTGTAAAAGTACGACTCAACAATGAGATGTTATCATTATGGCTAAGCAACCAGAGTTTATTATCCACAGTTGCTATGTACATTATACAATTGGCTATGCCATTCTGAGTATGAACTAGTGGGTCAAAGCATTTTCTCTATGGGATAGGCCATGTTTCATTAGTATTTACGTGCATCAGACTACCTTTTATTTTATTTATATTTTATTAATTAAATCTTTATTGTTCAGATTATTACATGTGTTCCTCTTTTTCCCCCCCAAAACTC